GGTTGAATGTACAAGGGGGATCAGTGTTCTGAGTGATGTATGAGAATATAATAAATTAAACACTCAGACCTGATTCCTCCCTCGTTGCTGGTGCCTCTGGAGCGTTGTTGGATGAGGTGCTGGCTTCACTCCTCTCCTGGTCCAGATGCAGCATCGTGTGATGGCGTTGTTGGCATTTAAAACAAGCCTTGCTGCACTTGCATTTTGCCACCGTGTGCGTGCCGAAACAGTTGAAGCACAGACGCATGCCTGTGATGTATTCCAATCGTTTCTTTGCTGGAAGGTTTTGGAGTACTGGGCACTTTCCTATGAAGTGCCTGTCCCTGCAGTATGCGCAGCAATCAGCAGGTCTGGATCGTTGAGTCTCTGTTTGCTGAGGTGCTGTCTCAGCCACATGATATGCACGTGCCCGTTGTGTTGGTGTCCCTTGTGGCGTTGGTTTCACTTTTCGTTTCGGTGAATCTTGTTGATCATCTGGAGTCATGCCTCTGGCAGTTGACTCCAGGAAGTTGACCAACTCTTGCAGGGGGACGAAGTTCGTTGATGCACCCAGCCTTTGCTCCCATGTGGTGCGTGTGTCCGCCTCCATGGAGCGTTTAAGCAGGTGGAAGACAAATTGTTCACCCAAATTTTCTTTTGGTATCCCAGCTGTGTTGATGAGCTGATCCACTGTTTCTCTTGCAATGTGAGCGTTGTTTATCATTGCCTTGGCATCTCCCTTGGCCATCGTCGACAAGTTGAGCACCCTGTTAAAGAGATGCCCTGCAATCAATCGTGGATTTTCATAATGGCGTTGAAGCTTCTCCCAAGCTTTCTCAAAATTGGCGTCTGTGGCCGTGAACGAGGAGATGTGCTCAGCTGGTGGACCCTGGAGAGCTTCCTTTAGCCTCACCAGTTTCTCAGCTGGCGACATATCAGGTCGTCTCCCCACTAGGTTCTGGAAGAGATCGGAAAATTCCTTCCATTGTGAGAATTGTCCTCGAAACGTTGGTAAGTCAATTCGTTTTAGTTGAGTTGTCGTTGGGCGCTCCGTTGATAATTTCTCTTTCGTTGCGAGTTGTCCCTTGAGCTTCCAGATACGCTTCAAAGTCTCTCTCTTGATTTCTCCTGTCTTCAAGAAGACTTTGCCCTTCATGAAAATGTGCTCTGAGGGCAAGTTTCCGATGATGGTCTGGGAGCGATCAGCAAAATCTACCCAGGCCTCCTTCAAATACGCCTCCTGACCGTTGAGTTCTTCCATCGTTGTGTCTGAGGCCGTCATGTGCATCATTTCTTGATGTATGCCGTTGAATTCGAGCATCTTATCCTCCAGGAACTCCAATTGATTGAGGGTTCCTGGTGATAGGTCTGTTGGGTGACTCGTTGTGGGTTGAGGGTCTGAAATCTCAGACATTCTCGTTTTAATTTTGTTGAGATCGGGTAGCGGTGGGTCTTCCACAGCATTTGCCCATTCTTCTCGCTCTTGTTGCTTGTCAGGAGCATGTACAATGATGGGAGGTAC